GAGTTAGTTGGCCTTAGATGCATCGGAGTTATCAAGCTGTATCTTATGATCGCTGCGTGTGACTCGTGTTCCTACCTGGAGCTTTGTAGGTGTGATCCTGTCGGTGAAGACTAGATCCGGGACACCATGGCACGTGGTAGATTATCTCACGTGTTGTTGCTAACACTTTATTTCCAGAGTGCGTGTAGATTTGTCAAGGCATTTTGGAGAGCAAATTGCATACCGTCTCATGTCTAGCATATAGAAGTTACCACACAATTTTCGTTGTGTGACAGAGATGCCACGTGGGCAAACACCCTCTTTGGCTTCTCGTCGTAATCCACTGAGGAGTAAGATGGTCGGTAGTGGCACTCTATAATGACAGAAGTGGAGTGAGTGGTTAACCAAGCTGTGACTTTGAGGGCTGCATAGCAGTGATGTCAGACCTCATATAGGTAATGCAATCTCCTCCTTTAACATGCAGCCCGTATTCCTCGAACACAGAACAGTGGTCGACGGGGATCTCAGTGTCATATGTGCCAGGAGTTAACCAAGCTTCCGTAGTCATTACAACAGATGGATCTCATATCAGGGATAACAGTGTAATCTGTTTCATTTTGCCACACATAGAATGGGTGTTAAATAGACAAAACAAGAGTCGGTCAGGCGTATGAAAGAGTTCTGGTGATAAGCCAAAAAAGGCGGGACCTGCGTACATATTTAGTGGATCGTTCGCGCATACCCCTAGGGGGGAGAATGACGGTACACAGAATCTCCACTATCAAAGGGTGATGGTAATAGTTAGCTTGAAGAGAGCGAGGTATTCACTGCTGGTCAAAGTAGAGGGCAGATGGCTCGAGAGCACCTGAATCACCGGCATTACAGTTGGCACTGCAGCCGTAGGCTGTTTGAAAATATCCTGTTAATAGGAAACAGAAGGGATAGGTAGGTTGTGTGGTATGCTTATCTGCTGGTCGTTGCATGCACTATGGTCACAGCCGGCGTCGCACCCATCGAATTTATTCTAAGTTAACGGAAAAATCAGTTTCATTGGCTTCTATGCTACACATTAGAGCAGTAACCCGATTTGAGCAATGCCATGATCTATCAGTTCTAGACTTAGTATTCCTTCAAACAGATGATATGAGCTCTAACCAGCACCTTGCACTCCTTGGTAAAAGAAATCATGGTGTGGTCACCTTCAGACTCATGGCAGTCGTCTTGTTGCTGGCTGATACTACAACCAAGCCGAGTATCTGGTAGGCCAAAACAGCATCCATAAGCTTGAGGACCCCTTCAGAGGACTGGGGAGTGAATTCAGAAGCCCCGTGTGAACGTGAACGGTGCATCTTCAGACGGTTTTTTCGGGAGTGACTCAGCCGCTAATTCTGTTGAGCGTCCCGAATAGGTCAGACCACGAAGTTCGAAGTTTATCACGAAGCAAGAAAAAGTGCAAGAGTCTTGCCACTCACCTTAATACTTCTAAAGTGAAAAAATGTTGCAAAAATGACTAGACCAAAATGTATGGCTGCTATCCACCGGCTCGAAATCTGCCTTGGAACAAGCCTTACCCATGCTCCAGTGCAGCACCTGAGGTTATTTTCCTGTGGACCATAAGAACAAAACGTATCGTAGTACCCCGCCCTTATCGAAATAACATAAGCTAACTATTTAATTGACGACGATAAAAACGAAACAAAGACTAAGGCCGATTACTGTGATGCGAATATTACCCAAGAAGCTTTGGTGGACACGAATCTAACAGTAAGAACACAGACACACAACAGAGTAATTTTTGTGGACAATGATTGGGATGAACTGCTCCGAAAATTACGTACCCTGGATATAGATAAACAAACAAGGCTGAGGCTACTCGAAGAGCTTGCACCAAACGCAACTGTCCCATTAACTACAATATTTAGACTAGCCCTCAGTTAAGGCCTACTCCCCCGTGGCTGAGGGGCAGCTATAGTCACACTCGTCCTTGAGGCAGGTTCCAGACCGATAAGCTTGACTAATACCGCAGTTAATTTCCTAGACTTTGTGATCAAGAAAGACATTAGAACTCACCTGAAAACCAACACCGTGTTGTCTCGTTTGCAGCGTGGCTTCTTCAGAGGCATCTCTGACATGACGAACCTCACATTGGGAGGAAGTTGAATTAAGTCTAAGGATGGAAGGATTCGTGTAGATATCATTTTTACAGGCTTCAGTAAGGCACGAGACAGGGCGTCTTTTCCCACGTTGATTGCGAAAGGCCGGAAGGTCTTAGGATCACTGGAAATCTGCTTGGATGGATAAGAAAATTCTTTGTGAGAAGGCGAGAAAGGGTGAGGTTCAATTGTCAGCTGTCCTCTTGTAAGTCTTTACAGAGTGGAATATCTCTGGGTCCCCTGATATTTCTTCCGTACATCAATAGACGGTGGAATATCATATAATTTCCCACAGTTCTTAACGAGAATGATGTGAAATCCTGGCAAGAAATTAAGGATGATAAAGATGTACGTGTACTTCATGTACATTTCAGCAATTTGGTATTCTATTCAAAGATGCGGCTGACGTCTAATAACGCAGGTAAGTGCATGGCGATGCAAATGAGGTGTACAGGTGGCGACACCTATGACCCTGGTTGAACTCCTTTACTTTCAGTACTGACGCGCAATAAAATGGAAGCAAGAAAAGCAGTGGTTTTAAGACCATAGCACATTGTTGGTTAGCTGCAGCTCGAGGTTCGAGAACACTTCGGAAATTGCGCAGAGATTATACCAATATGAGTGGCGTTATGTCCCCTACCCCATGCAAATCCCGAATTAGATTGAGGCTCGAAAAAGTTAAGGGTCAATTTGACCGAAGAAGAATGACCTTAGGACACGAGCCTATTCCTTTTCCCCCATAGCAGATTGAGGAGACATGCAATCATGCAATAAGGATTTTAAGAAGTGACTTTGAACCTGATGCATCATCTCTTTTCCTTCCCACCAGGAAATAATGCCTTAGGAAAACGTGGTGAGAAAATACAAAAGCAAAAGATGAACTCTCTGACCGTAGAATAATGGTTTTCTAGTAGGGTTACCAACTCCTAAAACCGATTCGTAGAAGTATCGTCAGCGTTATTAATTGTCCCGTTGAAAAGACGACTGAAAAAACAAGGATTCATTAAGAAGAGACTGACACAGGCCCATAGCCTTCCTCCATTGAGTTCAAAATCGTAATCCGATATTTGGGTAAGCAGAAAAATATTGTACATTGTTCTTTGTAAAAAGGGACTGATTTAAAGTGCTACGTAACGGTTCGTCATTTCTCTCAGATACTGGGCATATAAAAGTTAGTTTGACGTATATGTTCTGTTTGCATAGTCTGTAACATCAAAACGTCAACGAAAATAATTTTAATTACCTATGGGAACTGCAGTGACAGCAAATTTGTGCATATTAGCGTCATATATGTTGAAAATTCGTACAAAACGCGAGGTATCGCAACATTATGCCTCTGTTTTTTAGCCCTATAAGACTGAATGCAATTGCGGCTGAATCACCTTCAGTCAGTTTACCCTTCTTTTCCTTCCATTTGGTTCATTCTTCTCTCGATTTGTTCTCTTTTTTTTGAACAGGATGTCTTGCGTTTACTGGATTCACATTTTCAGTTGTACCTGACGAGGACTGGGTGTTTAACATTGGCGCCTGAAGGTCGGTTAGACCCTGTGTGCTAACTTCCTAGTGGAAAATCACCGCCGTAGGTTTTCACTAAGACGTTGGCAATGTGCGTCACATTGCTTGGTGTCATTATTAACTCATCATTTAAGTTATCCATATTCTACATAGCTACCTAGATACGACTGCGATAAAGTAACTACATACTGTTAGGGCATGACATTTTATTGAAAAATCAACAATCTTTCATTTTCAACTATCGCTTGATCCATACGGGTCCTCGAAGTGGGTATATTTTGTTTTACGACTAGATGTAAGTATATGCCAAAATATATGAAATTACTTGTGAGCAATCTACTATGAACTGATATATAACCGCAGGATACTGTATAGAACTTCTCTTCCATAATGAACATACATTGTCTTGTATTTAGCAGAGTTGATTAGAATGTGATATGTGATAACAAAAAATCAAACATATTCCTTGGTTTGCTAATCATCCCGTAAGCTAACACAAGGTCAAAAAGCTAAGGTAAAAGACAAATGTCTCCAACATGCTTGGCATCGGTTCCTGTCCTGAACCATATCGGATATCGTCTGAGACAACTGAATCACTCAACCTTTTGAAACGTTTGTTGTCAAGCGGATAGTTTGTTCATTCTTCCTCTTCTTACCAATTTTTGTGTGTGACCCCATAATGTATTGTTGATTTGTATGACCCTTTTCTCGATTCCCTTGTTGTATTGAGTCCGGTTGAATAATAACCTATAACATTGCTATCTATCGTTGATCTCATACTTTATAAAAAAGTCTCAAAAGGCTATGATAACCTTAAAATATAGATGGGTAGAAAGTCCTAATAGGTTGCTCCCAGATACTCAGTGAAGGTTCGTAATCATTAGTCAAGCTACCTGAAGTGCATATTTAAAGATGCTTTGAGGGAAGTTGATTTTGCCTACTGTTAATCATTAATCCTAGTTTGACTAACCGCTCAGTATCATATCTGATTTACCCTCTGAGGCTCTTATTCTATAACTGTGACTTAAGAAACTACTTCTCAATGTTGCTTTCATTTTTGCCATCTACTACGGAAGTTTATTATTGATAGGTTACATACACTCCAGTCTGTACTTGTGCATTTAATTGTATCGGAAAATTTTGGCACGCATAAAATAATATACTATGATTATGAGTACCAAGTTATACTTGCAACTCAATCTAATTCTTCCAAACATCATTAGGATTTTACAAATATATTTCACTTATCATCTATTTATCCAACGGTCTACTTATTGAACTCTAACCGCTTAAATTTTAAGGGATGTTTGAGAACGAAAGCAACATATCAAGGTTCTTGTCATATCATTTCAGATGCTCCGTCCACGTGCACTCACTTCTGCTTTACGAAAAATGAACACCGGTGGAATGCAGTCGGTTATGCTTTTTAGTCCTGAAGGTGTACTTCTTGCTTATACAAGTCTTGCTGGCGACAGTGAACGATCTAAAGCGGCAATTGCAGCAAATGTTTGGAATATATATCAACGTCAACTGGAATCCAGCGAATCGGTAATTTGTGTTAAAACGTGCATATGGATATACTTTCTCTAAAAATTTGCTATCTCCATAGTTTAAATTGCATCAGTACCAGATTTTTTTAGTTATCTTTACCTACCTCTAAAAATCAGTCTTTTTAACGTGACTTATTTTTTTGTTAATTTCTGCATAAGTTTCAGTAATCGTAATATGCAAATCCTTGTCTCCTCAGAAAGCCATTCTGTACTATATCAGTTTTAACAATTCAGTTGTCTATTTACCCAAAATATGACTGTAGCTCTTGTTTCCGGAACACATGTGAGTCTCACCTATTTATTCTCTGCACTTCACTTCATGAGTGCGATTACTTTATCATGTAATCTGCTCGTGTATTGAGATGTTATGAGTTTATAGTTAAGTAGTTAAGAAAACGACAACATTATCAGGAGTTGCTGACATCTAGCGACATTGAAAAGTTATTTTTAACCGTTATTTAGGTTTATAAGTGAAGATAATCACAAGAGCTTGGTAATTAATTGGTTACCACTGGGATATCAGGGCAGTGACTCACTCCTACAGAAGACGCTTAATGACATCTAAAAAGCTCGAATTATTTCAAATGAAGGGGTTATCCCCATCAATTTTTGTGATATCATTAAAGCTGCTTAAAACTGAAAACGTCATAAAGTTATGATTGGTTACTGTACTTCTATATGGATAGCAGGTCAAATGTAGAGGGTCTGTTCGATTTAGGTAAACTTACGCTAGCTATGGCAAAAGCGAAATGTCTAGATGCCTATTAAGTGTACTACACAAGAGCTCACTCTTTTCCATGAGTGAACACGTTCACAAACCTTGATTTTTAAATTTTGCTCCCATACACCTTCGATTTTGATGAGTTAATCCACCCACTCATTCTTTCCATACTTCTCTGAAGTGTAACTTCAATCGACCCACTTCTGTGCGAGGTTCTACGTTGATTTTATCTCCGTTTGACCGTAAATTTTGGCCACTGAAGATGACATATACGAAGGGCTGAAGATTTTGGCCGTTTTCATAGCATTGGTTGCATGTCATGGGACCATCATGTGAGAAAAGTAGAGGTTGGCTATAGGGTCTCAGGTAAACGGTGGTATTTACTAATATTGTGATCCGTTACCGACTCGGTTGGTAGGGACTTGTGTTATGTATGCTAAGTCATAATCTATCCTAACACGCTATGCCAGCTGAAGTAGGATTAGGTTAAAGAAAAGTCACAAGTGACCAAAAGTAACACCAATCTATGAGGTTTATAATTATTGTTCTGTACCGTACAGAGAAATGTAGATTTCCAGTCGAAACTGATGGCCGAAGACTCGGTGGCTTGCCTCAAAACAAGTTAGAATGAGTCAGACTCATCTTCGTTTGATTTTGCTGTACTGATGTTAAGTGCAGCAGCTTGAATTGTTTGACAGTTGTAGTGTAAGCCTAGTGTTGCTAATGAGTGAGTGGTAGTGGTATAGTAATAGTAATTTGACGGATATGTTAAACAAGTTATTAAACTTGGGAATATCCCATTCATATTTATTTTTATTCCATATTCCTTTCATTGAGAAATACTACAATAAAACCTCTATATTGATGGAGTCGATAGGTTGTTTAGTTGGATACAGATCAGTTAAAGCCAAACCTCAAAGTTTCGGCATGTGACATTCTTGGTAGACCCCACTGAACGTATACAGCTTACCATCGGCTGTGACACGCTCATGATTATTTGAAAACAAAACCCTCAGCAGAGTGCTGTACCCATTTGGTACCTCTTTTAGCTGGGACCCTACCATAAGAATTCTTGATTGACGAAGTGGAATGCTTACTTCAAGTCGAGAAATACAGCTAGTGTCTGGCAACGGTGTACCCGTATTCCAAAACTTTATGTAGGGTAAGTATCTGGTGAACACGCCCATGACCAGATCTGAAGCCTCTGTTTTCCTCAGGTGTGCCGTTTCCGAGCTTCGATTATGCGTCTAGTGATAATGGGACCTAAAATCTTAGACACTTCATCAGACAAATCTTGCGACTATTACGAAGGGATTTCTCCTTTTTCTTGAGAACTGAGACAGTTATTGTTTGATATCAGTCGAAGGGATCATATGTGATTCCCATGTATAAGCTAGAATTTTAGTTAATTCAATCAACAATTCCCGACTACCTTCCTTAAATACCCATAAGTATTACCACAAATTCTTAATTAGGGATACTTAGTCTCTAGGAAAAACTAACTTATGCACATACTATCATTGTAAAGTTTTATCCTTGTTCTCGTATCCTTTTTGCACCATGCGATGTTACTTATTTTTACCGCAGTTTAAGATATTAAGCGCTGATTGGTCGTTTTTACACTTTTAATATGCCATTTTGTTTTGCCTGGTCAAGGCTATCCAGGAATTTATAAAAGACTGTTTTCAGGTATGGGATTATTCGGTTGAAGTGAACATACTTTCAACCCCGTTGTCTTATTCTGGTGTCAGCTGAACATCAAGTTGAGAAGTCACTGTTCTCTCGCTAATCGTATCTTGTTGGAGCATCGTATCGTTATGTATATTATGGAACATAACAGTGGCGACGGAAATGGGGTTTTGAGAAACGAATATTTTGAAGTTGGAAAATTTCCTAAAACAACAAATGAGGATTACCAGGATACTTACGCAATCGCCTACTACACCAGTTTTAATAGCTCCTTCAGTTGATGGCATCGCCAATGGCAACACTAAATTTCACTGTGATCCTGTTGCCAATGAGACTTTCGATAGTTGGTTCAGGCGTTACGAAGTCTAATTCAAAGTGGATTTTGCTGGCCAAGAGGATTCCCGGAAGGTATCTCTCTTACTTCGAAAGCTTGGTCCGCATGATCTCGACCAGAACTGCAACATGATTTCGCCGCAGAACCCACGTGGTCACACTTTCGACGCCACTGTCCAGATACTGAATGACATGTCTGCAGAATATCAACAAGTGAGCAACGTGCAGCGTGATACCAGTCTAGCTCAATCCAGAAGCCAGAGTACCTCTGAAGTACGTAAAGTTCTCCAGACATCTCATTCCTTCGCGTCGCCCTCTGGCCTTACCTCGTCTGTTCATCGGCCCACTAACTCATGCGATACCAACCGACCCTCGAAGAAGACGCCCCCATCGTCTTGCTGGCATTTTTTCAAATCTTGTCCACCTAAACAACATCGATCCCGGCACTGTAATGCTGGGAGCCATAAGGATGGTTTTTGTTGCCAACACGCACAACGATGTGTACAAAGGTCGTCCTCCAGATACCACCGTAGATCCCATTCTCGGTCGGGAGGTAAATCCCTCGACTTAATAGCTGATTTTTATGGTCATGCGCCCGCCCGCTGAAAGAATATCGAGAAGACTACTGATGCCCCAGTAAACAAGACGATACTCCCTGTGTCTGTCAGATAGATGCAAGAAAAAGACAGTGCGGCCCAATCTGATCCAAAATAGCATTCTTTCGAAGAGGGAGGTGATATGCGGATAGAGAGAAAAACAGTCTGGAGAGGGTCCAATCAAAATGTACTTTATGTCATCACGTCTACAGTTAAACAGACAGACAGTGGATCAGCCAATCAGTATTATTATTTTAAACAGCGAACTATCTGTATATTTGATATATTTTCCCTTGTTGTTTTCTTCGATCTGTCGACCCCAATACACGTTTCTAAACGTCTATCGTGTCTCCTTCATTAGTTAGTCTTATCGGGAATTAATTGGGAATTTTGATATCTGACAGTAGATATACGTACATCTTTAGGGGCAGTAACACTTTTTGAATCATAGCAGATGCGTTACACAGTTGGATTTCGTAGCATGAGCATTTAAACTAGTATTGCCATTGGGAACTGCGTTGACGTTTTTTCCATCACATAATTCAAGAACTTGTCATATTAAGTGCATGAGCTGTGGTTATTTTACTTGTTAAAGTGATGGGTCATAAACATAAGTTAATCCTCATAAATATGGTTATCCATATACTTATGCTTTCTTATTTACAGTGATACAACAGCATGTTTCTTGGCTGGATGGATTAGTGATAAATTGGAGAATTTTTTATTATTGTAGCAATTTTATGGATACGATGGAGAAACGAATGTTTTCCGCTTTCATGTTGACTCACGTTGCTTAGGACTTTACTAAATATTCCTCATGGTTGCTTTTGCCATTCCATTAACTCAATGAGATGTGGAAACAGAGTGAACCTGATTTATCTAAAATCGAATTGACCGAAAGAAACACTTAGTTCCTCTTTCTTGATTTAGAGGTTTGACTTCTCAAACAGACAGACAAGCAAAATCAACGTGGAACCTTGCACGCACATGCAAGTGGATAGAGAAAGAGTGGTATCAAAGTAAACAAATTAGTGTGAGAATAAGCAATTTGGAAATAACGGTTAGCACAAATATACAAGCTCTCGGTTTCAAAAAGCGAATGCATCTGTACCATTGTGACTAATTTTCAGCCATATCATCAAGGGTCCTCAACCACTGATTTCTTTCTTCTCGAGGACCCCAACCAGACAGTCTACACCTCCCTACATGGCTCAGACCAACAGTCATGGACTTCATCGACTAGCGCCAGGCCTGCATCTGGCCATCCTGATCCCTCTTCCAGCCTAACACAACTACCCGCGGCATGTCACGTCGAGATAGGCGGTGGCTTGGCATGCTCAACACATGTTCAAGCCATCTAAGTCGACTAAGGTTCACAACCTTATCAACCGATTTAACTACCCTGCCCAGTACTCTTCGTCTGACTTCCAAATTGCTCACACAATGATTCCACCAAACGCGAACAGTAGCTACGAAGATATATGTGATCAAAACCCTATAGTCGCTTCATATCTTCTACTCTTAACGGCCGTGTCTTCCAGCCGTATAACAGAATAAAACAGACTGCGGCACACTATGCCCATCCTTTGTTGGACAGTCAGATATCTTGCCAGTCGGCTCTACAATTGACACAAACCGGCCTTCTGCATCTGAGCTGAG